GATCTTCGTTTTAATAAAAGATAATTGGGGAAGCCAGAAATGTTGTATTCAACTCAGGTGCACAAAGGTGCACAGCTTACCTGAGGCAGCAGGGAGCTTGTGTTAAAATGTTAAATAGAAGCACTCGTTTTCTGTCAATTTAAATATAAATTGATTTCTGGTAATAAATAATTTGTTGCCAATTGTGATTAAAGTGCAGAATGATTGGAACTATTCTGCCCAGTATTTAGGACAAGGAATATTCCATTCATTATGCGAAGTGAAGTGTAGATGAGGAGGGAGGACTTCCATATTGGGAAAGCTCGCTGGGTGCTAAACAGGTTCTGCACAAAGCAATATTTTGCCCTGTCGTTGAGGGCAAAGTCGATACCAAGATGGCAAAGTTTGGCTTCAAAAGTTCATTAAGTTCATAAGTTTATCCTCCTTTGGGAGAATTATAGGGATGGAAGAGACCTCGTGGGCCATCCAGTCAAACCAGAAGCAATTTTATAGAATCATAGAATAATAGAATTGGAAGAGATCTTGTGGGCCATCCAGTCCAACCCCATTCTGCCAAGAAGCAGGGAAATCACATTCAAAGCATCCCTGACAGATGGCCATCCAGCCTCTGCTTAAAAGCCTCCAAAGAGGGAGCCTCCACCACACTCTGGGGCAGAGAGTTCCACTGCTGAACAGTTCTCACACTTAGGAAGTTCTTCCTAATGTTCAGGTGGAATCTCCGTTCTTGTCGTTTGAAGCCACTCTTCCGTGTCCTAGTTTCCAGGGCAGCAGAAAACAAGCTTGCTCCCTCCTCTCTATGATTTCCTCTCACATATTTTTTCATGGCTCTTCTCAGCCTTCTCTTCTTCAGGCGAAATATGCCCAGCTCTTTAAGCCACTCCTCATAGGGCTTGCTCTCCAGACCCTTGATCATTTTCATCACCCTCCTCTGGACACATTCCAGCTTGTCAACATCTCCCATCAATTATGGTACCCAGAATTGGACACGGTATTCCAGGTGTGGTCTGACTAAGGCAGAATATAGGGATAGCATGACTTCCCTGGATCTAGACAGTATACTCTTATTTCATGCAGGCCAAAATCCCATTGGCTTTTTTGCCGCTGCATGACATTGTTGGCTCATGTTTAACTTGTTACCCGCAAGGACTCCAAGATCTTTTTCACACATCCTGCTATTGAGCCAGGCGTCCCCCATTCTGTATTTTTTGCATTTCATTTTTTCTGCCTAAGTGGAGTCAGTCAACATAGACTTACATCTAGTTGTTGGTCAGAACCATAGTCACTCAACTGAGTCAATGAAACTCACATAGTATTAATGTACCCAGTTTCCTTTGATTCAGTATGTCTGCTTCTGTTAGCAACTGAACATATGGTCCTAACCTAAGGCTGCCAAAGCATGGCAATTTATTTCTTTATTTTTCTCATTAAGAAGGATAAACAAGTGTTTACACAAAGCTTGGGAAAATTACCTTTTGCACCACGACCCTTAGAAGACTCCAGACAACATGACCATTTGGTGTAGTTACAGGATTTTGGGAGTCATAGTACAAAAAAAGTTAACTTTCTATAAAGCTAGCATCCTTTCATACAACACAGGTATAGCTCTATGATTCACTATGATTGGTGTGTCTGCATCCCATAGCATCCTGGGCTTTAGGGAGGCACTAAAGTTCTCTGGATGAGAAAGCCACACTTCAAAGCCCAGGATCCCATTCATGAAACTATGTACCCATTGACACAACACAATTGTTGTGCTGTATTCCATTTTAATCCCATGGTATCACATGCGGAGTCCTGGGTTTAGCATTTTAATAAGTAGCATTTAGAATTCTGAACTAAAAAATTATTGGGTTGTTGTGGGTTTTTCCGGGCTATATGGCCATGTTCTGGAGGCAATTTTTCTCTTGACGTTTCAGGAGAAAAATTGCCTCCAGAACATGGCCATATAGCCCGGAAAAACCTACAACAACCCAGTGATTCTGGCCATGAAAGCCTTCGACAATAAAAAGTTATTGTGCTACACCACAGCTAAATAACTAAAAATAACTAACTAAAATAAATAACTAAAAGTTATTGTGCTATAGCAGTTAAAGTGGAATAATAACACCATACTGGTACAGTGTGAATGGATTTCATATCAGCTAAAGTGGAATCTGAGGCTGGATCTACACTGACATATAATGCAATTTGAAACTGTGTTATGTGGTCTGTTAAACTACATTCTATGGTTCTACACCCATTCTATAATGCAGTTTCAAACTGCGTTATATAGCAGCATAGAACCAGCCATCGGTGCCATGAATGTGTGGTTGAGACCCTATATGTGCAGCCATAATTACATAGCCCACCCCTAGTTCTGTTTATTGGTCACACTGGGACATGGATGTAGAGAAGAGACAAAGTCTCAGGATGTTGACAAAGATGTTTTTGTCCTAATTAGCCCAACACGTTTTTCGAAGTCATATTTAATGGTTTTCTTCAACGGAACGCAACTTTAACATAATCTATAGGGATTGCAAAAAAGAAGAAAAAGTGTTTTCTAAGCATATGCCTGGCAACATATTGTAACCTCAGAAAACACTTTAAAAAATCTTTCAGGCAGTTTTACAGTTGATTTCCCTGAAGAAGACCATTAAATCTTACCAAGAAAATGCATTGGGCAAATAAGAAGAATAAAATAATATTTGTCAACCCCTTGCGACCTTGGACTTGTCTACACTGACCCTATAACCTGGATTGGGCCAGAAGACATCCGGGGACTTCTGGTCTGTAACACAGGGAAAGACTGGTTAATCCAAATCTGTGTTTGGAAAGGTTGGGGAATGTTCCAGAGTTTTCAGCCAAATTCTGGAGCAACTCCACACTTTGGGGTTATTGCGAGCACCTGAACCAACTCTGATTCAAGCAATGCACTTTCCACACTGTGTTTCCCTCTTTTCCCTACACTTTGTGGAACAGGGGAAAGGGGATAGATTGTGTCAGTGTCACTCTCTTGTTCCCAAAGAAGACAGACACAAAACTCCAGAGAGCTTCTGACCATCACTGGGCAGCTTTGCTGATGTCATCAAAGGTGACCACACAACCAGGGGAAATGTGGTCCAGGGGTGATGACAGGGGATATCCAACATAAAGTGACCACCCAGAAAGTCTGAACCAATTTCAGCCTGGCTGGATGATGTGGACTCCATCGCACCATAACTTCAGGATGGGAATAAGCCATGTAGAACTCTGGTGTCACATTGCCAGGGTCTGCCGGTATGCAGGCAGAGGTGAACCAAACAAACACCCAGTTTGTGTTCCGTTGTTTAATTAAAGCAGCACTTACTTTCTGGCTCTTTTCATAGTCCAGATGTAAAACAAAAATATAGTACTCAACCACAGAATATGAAACAAAAACTGCTAGCAAACGCTAATGCAAATTCAAGAGTACCCCATAGTCAAAGGGTCCAGTGCAGTGGTCAAATGCGGAGAGTTCAGTGAGCAAAGTCCACGGATCAAGAATCTATACCATAGTCAGAAGCTAGTCCAGAGATTCAAGGTTCCAAGTTCCCAAGGGTTCAGGAGACAGGTCAGGATACTAAAAACCCACAAACCTGGGGGGAAACCAGCAGCATTTACCACCAACATAAGACAAATACTTTTCTCCCAACATCAGTCTCTAGGCTAGCTCCTTATAACCAGTAAAACCCAGCTTCGACCTATCCCTTGCATGCCTCCATCCTTAATTGCTTTCACCTATGAACTATGAACTATGGAGCCCCCGGTGGCGCAGTGGGTTAAACCCCTGTGCTGACAGGACTGAAGACTGACAGGTCGCAGATTCGAATCCGGGGAGAGGCGGATGAGCTCCCTCTATCAGCTCCAGCTCCTCATGCAGGGACATGAGAGAAGCCTCCCACAAGGATGATAAAAACATCAAATCATCCAGGCGTCCCCTGGGCAACGTCCTTGCAGACGGCCAATTCTCTCACACCAGAAGCAACTTGCAGTTTCTCAAGTTGCTCCTGACACGACAAAAAAACCAACAAAAAAACAAACAACCTATGAACTCTTACTTACAGATTACTCAGCCCTTTAGAACTAAGACTTACATTAACCCGTCCATCACTAACTGCTAGACATGCCATCACCAACCACCATCAACAGTGGAACATGATACATGACACCTGGACCGGTCCAGAGTAGCTCATGTCAATACACTCTTTTTCTCTTCTCTGCATCCCTTCCATTTGGTACTAGCAGTCCTTAGTTTTTGTTTTTGTTTTGTTTTTTTGTTTCACACTGGGACAAGAGGGAATATTGAGGATTGATTCTCATATATTTAAGAGTGTCCTTTAAAAAGATAGAGGAGACCATAGATCTAGAGCAGGGAACATTTTAAAGCACCAATCTCAGGATAAATCCCCAGTCTCCCTGGATAGGATTCATAAAAGAGACTAGACAACCTCTGCCAGCCGGAATAGCACATCTTCTCCTTTTCAGACAGATACTATTGCCTGGGCATAAAATAGTTTAATTGAAGTAGTCACAGTGCTTTCAAAACTATACCAGCTGCCAGGGTGGTTCCTGTTGGGTTTTCTGAAGTGACCCACAAATAACACTCAACTCTTTCTCCCAAATGAATACCTAATGAAGGGAGGGAATTGTGTGTTCGTACTAATGAGGGCATAAGTCTCTACAGGTTAACAGCCTTGTAAAGCCTTTTGAAGAAATCAATTATGCTTCGCTTGAATGCCTTGCTGAATCTTTTGTCTGCAATATGAGTTGTTCTTTCCTTTCCCTCCCCCCCTCAAACCTTCCTTTATGACATCTGTTTTACAATACACAAACAATGCTTGAAAGGAGGGAAATTAGCTTGGAACAAAGATTGCTCGTTGTGCAGTGCATGTGATGTACCCGCGTTCCTCTGTAAATTACCATAACCCCGATCTGTCAATGTTATTTTTCAGTGATACACCTTTCAGAGATTTAATTGTACCTTCTGTTGTAACGACAATTAGGGGGGAATTTCGAGAGCTCTTTCGACGCAGACAAAGGTGTGGGGACCATTGTCATCGCGAAACCCCTGGATGCTGAGCAGAGGTCGGTGTACAACATGACCGTGGAAGTCACCGATGGGACAAACGTGGCAAGCACTCAGGTAGCACACAGTTATGTCTCGTATCTCTTTTCTCATCCAGAAAAAAAGTATCAGGCCACTTCACATCTTATATGTTCAAACTATGCAATTAAGACTTGGATTTGATTGTTATTTGGGGGGGGGGGGGGCTTGTTGGGAAATCGCTCATAATGAGCCAAAAGAGTAAAGATAAAGGTCTCCCCTGACATTAAGTCCAGTCGTGTCCAACTCTGGGGGTTGGTGCTCACCTCCATTTCTAAGCCGAAGAGCCGGCATTGTCCGTAGACACCTCCAAGGTAATGTGGCCAGCATAACTGCATAGAGTGCCGTTAGCTTCCCGCCGGAGCGGTACCTATTGATCTACTCACATTTGAATGTTTTTGAACTGCTAGGTTAGCAAAAGGTTAGGCTAATAGCGGGAGCTCATGCCGCTCTTGGATTCAAACCTGCGATCTTTTGATCAGGAAGTTCAGCAGCGCCACCATGGGCCAATAGTTATATTGAATTGCCTTTATACCAAATACGGACAACTGAGTGAGGAAGCTTGGTCTACTTGTCCCAATGATGACCCACAGACAGCACACTTGTATCTTGACACACTAGAAGTGATGCTAAATGTTTTCTGGTCTAATGTGGGGAAAAACTTAAAGGGCATCTTATCATAACAATTCTACCACAGAACATAGACTTGGGTCCCTTCCACACAGCTGTATAAAATCCCACATTATCCGCTTTGAATGGGGTTATATGGCAGTGTGGACTCAGATAACCCAGTTCAAAGCAGATATTGTGGATACTGTGGATATTGTGGAAGGGCCCTAGGGGATATGTGAAAAATGAATTTTAAGGTAGATGTGTCTATTCTAAATTCACACTGAAACTAGTGTCAAGTATCCAATCGATTTCATTTCTAATGCAGGGTCCTATCATTTTGGAGAAAAGCATTCTAGGGCAACCAAAAGCCTAGATCCTTGAAAGAATATCCATTCTCCATAAAATGGTCAACAAGAAGTACTCTTCCACACAGTCCTAAATACCAGAATATTAAGGCAGAAAATCACACATTATCTGCTTTGAACTGGATTATCTGAATCCACACTCAGATAATTTGGGATTTCCTCGCTTACTTAGTTTCCAATAGACCCCTCAACTTCTGAGGATGCCTGCCATAGATGTGGGCAAAACATCAGGAGATAATGCTTCTGGAACATTGCCATAGAGCCCCCCAAAATTCACAGCAACCCAGTGATTCTGGCTGTGAAAGCCTTCGACAACACATTCCTCTCCTGTCTGCCCTTTAAATTGTACCGCCAGCTCTTCTTTGCAGTGGAAAAAGAGCAGCTGGGATTCTCCAGAGAAGTATGCGGTGAATTTCTCATATCCAAAATTTGTCAAGTGAAAATCAATATGAATGTGGGTGCTATGTGTGCTTTGGGGTTTTTTTAAAGAAAGAATATGTTACTGTGAACAAAATAACATCTTTACTTATAGATTTCAAACGACCATTTGCTAGGACGAAACTTTGCACTTGGAAAGGATCAGTAACAGTCTCCTGAAAGTCCTTTAAAACCCTTGTTCCCCATCCCAGCATGTTGCTGTTTGCCTTTTAGGCATAAAAGCACCTGCACTTTTACTGAGACTTGCAAAAAAAAGGAGGATAATTCTGAAAGAAGTTTGTTGCAGTAAGAAATCATCCACTAAGCCAGTTTGCTTCTTTTAAGAGCTTTGAATTCCTGTCTTGAAAGAGCACAGCCAGAGTTGTCCACGCAACAGATGAGCTCCAACCTGTGGAATCAAATGCCTGTATCATTTTCTACCATCCCACCTGCTTATCCTTGGATTTTATTTGATTTCATCTGTGTTTTCTTTCCGCCGATCTAGACAGTCGGAGGTGGTAAAAGACATTGTAAAAATGCCAGAGATGTTTTGTTTCAGTAATATGATCAATGGTATGGATCTGCCTAACAGCTTTAGTTTTTACAGTAACGACACCCTTGCCCATCTATTATAATTCCCCCCTCCCTAAGAAAACACAGTATAACTTCCTTTAACCCTCCCCAGCCTCTCCACAGAGCACATTACTACCATAGTAAAGAGAATCAAATGACTGTGGTTTAAAATTCACACAGGGGTTATGTTACTCGTGTGTTAGCTTTGATGGCACTTAACCAAAGAAACTTAAGAGACTTTATTGAAGGCACGAAGCCCTCCTCTATAAATCCGCGGAGGTGTCTAGGAGGCAGGTGTGGAGTGAATATGATTTAGGAATTTTTAAAAAATGATCTAATGAACTACAGTCATCGTGACCACATTTCTGTGTACGAACCCACACGATCTCGTCGATCATCTGGAGAGGCCCTGCTCGCGCTCCCACCTGTATCGCAGGTATGATTGGTGGGGACGAGGGAGAGGGCCTTCTTGGTGGTGGCCCCTCGACTCTGGAACTCGCTCCCCAAGGACATCAGACATGCCCCAACTCTGGCAGTCTTTAGGAGGAGCCTGAAAAAGTGGTTGTTCCAGTGTGCCTTCCCAGAGTAAGGAAATACCCTCAGCAGTATGTCCCTAAATGCACTTTATCACTGATTTAGGATTGTCTGCGCGCCCCATCTCTACCTGAAAACTCTATCCCAGTTATATCCTACCTTGTCCATGCCCAGTATTATTTTTTAAATTTTAAATTATTACATTTGACCCAGCCATAGGTTTTAAATGCTTGTTGTTATTGTTACTGTTTAGTGTTTACTTTTGTTTATGAGCTTTATTTTAACTGTTGTATTGATTGTTTTCTTGTTGCTTTTACTGTTGATGTGCTTTGGGCTCGGCCTCATGTAAGCCGCACCGAGTCCCTTGGGGAGATGGTAGCAGGGTATAAATAAAGATTATTATTATTATTATTATTATTATTATTATTATTATTATTATTATTATCTCTACATTTGTGGTTTTGACTTTGATGGATATAATTATTCATGGGATTGATTGAAAATGTTTTCTCGTTTTTGAATAATCTTTATTAGGGGGGATTGTGAAAAGGGGATACATTAATTGTGAAAATTGCATTTACTTTACATAAAAACATATAAATCACTAAACCAAACCAAAAAAGAGAAAAAAAGAGAGGAAACAAGAAAAATAAAAACGAGAGGGAGAGAGGAGGGACGAAAAGAAAGCGAAAAGGAGAAGAGAGAGAGATAATAATAATAAAAAACACAACGTGATGAGATGTAGGTTTATTGGGTTGTTGTAGGTTTTTTCGGGCTGTATGATCATGTTCTAGAGGGATTCATGGCCACACAGCCCAAAAAAACCCACAACAACCCAGTGATTCCGGCCATGAAAGCCTTAGACAATACAATGTAGGTTTATGCTACGTAGTCTTCCATTTAGCCCGTGGAATCTTCTCAGCTTCCTCCTTCTGTGTCGCATCTTTTGAGGAACATTCTAATTTGGGACCAATCAATTCTTCTCCTCTGTTGAGCTCTTAGATGTTGTATTAAACTGTCCATATTTATTACATCGGATATTTTAAGTGTCCATTCCTCAATTGTTGGGGAGTCTTTAGATTTCCATTTCTTCACGTAGACTATTCTCACCGCGGTGGCCATGTGGAAAAAGAATATATCCTTATTTTTGTCAGTTTCAAAGTCTAGTATCCCTAAAAGGTAGTATTCTAGTTTTAGTTCCATTTTTTAGTTCCATGTCTTCTCTAAGATTATAGATCTTAGATTTTGTGGACCTAGTCGTGCTGGAGGACCTAGAGGTGGCCCACGCTTTGGTTGTATCCCAAATAGATTACTGCAATGCATTCTATGTGGGGTTGCCTCTGAAGACTGTCCAGAAGCTCCAGCAAGTCCAATGATTGGCAGCCAGGTTGCTCACCGGAGCAGGCTACAAGGAGAGTACAACCCCTCTGTTACACCATCACCACTGGCTAACTATTTGCTTCCGAGCACAATTCAAAGTGCTGGCTTTAAGCTATAAAGCCCTAAACGGTTCCAGCCCAGTTTACCTGTTTGAACATATCTCCCTCTATGAGCCACCAAGGATGTTAAGATCATCCGGGGAGGCCCTGCTCTCAGTCCCACCCCCTTCGCAGTCGTGATTGGTGGGAACAAGTGACAGGGCCTTCTCCATGGTGACTCCCCAACTGTGGAACTCCCTCCCCAATGACATCGGATCCGCCCCCTCTCGCCTGTCCTTTCACAAAAAAATAAAATAATGAAATCCTGGATATGAGATCAAGCATTTGAACAATAGATGGATCAACCGGGAAAAGAATGTTTTCAGTGGACTGCAATTGTATGGATCTGGATTATGATTTTGAACTGGTGAACTATTTTAATTGATTGTTTATAATTGTTTAATTGTATTCATTATTTTTAATTGTATTGTTGCTGATATTTTTAATTGTATTGTTGCTGGTTGCTGATGACACAATAAATTAAAATTAAAATGGTATTGTGTCGGCATCTAACGGTTGCCTGTTGTAAGCCGTCCTGAGTCCCTCTTGGGAGGTTGAGAAGGACAAGATATAAATGCTCAAAATAAATAAATAACAGAGGTCACCAGAGAAAACATCTCTCTAGGAATATTTTGGTCCTCCAATTCAATTTTCTGTTCCAATTTCCAGCAGAAGTTGACCATAGGGTCATGTTGGGAGACCTAAAAATTCATAGAGAAGTGTTCTCTCAGACTAAAAAAAAAAACAATTTCATGATTTGCAGTATATTACTTCCATGGGAGTCCTGGGTTCTTCACCTCAGGGACTGTGGATGGTTGACTGTATTCCGTTATATGGGCTAATGAACTATCATATGTATTTTGTGGTACAATGACCACAATCTTTGCTTCCCCGACAGAAAAAAAAATCTGTCTTAATGTCTTCCTGGAATGTCAAGCAAAACAGTGACAGTGGCAAGAAAGATGTTGATTTATTTGATTTATTATCCAATCGTTGAGTATGAAGGTGCCTGTCAAATTGATTAACTCCAACAAAAGTCTGAACCAGGAGGACTTACGCC